CATTCCCACCCAGCTCCCTGCCTGAGAGCGACGAGGTTAAACCCATGGAGGGTACCGCCAGGAAAGCAGCCCGAGGATTCCCAGCGGGAATACCACCCTTTGCCCTCCCCTACTTTCACGGCTGGAGAACGCGTTTTGCCTCACGGGCCCGGTTCTAAGGGCTGGGGCTGAACCCCCAAAGCCCCGGGAGGTCGCGGGCATCCCCCTCGAGCGGAGGGAACGGGAGGGAACGTTATCCCCGAGCCAGAGGCGGGCAGAGTCCGGTGACACCGGGCCCCAGCAGAGGCGCGGCGCAGCACAGCGGCCCCGGGGGGTCCCGGTACCAGCCTCCGCACACCCACCCCTTAGTCCCGCCCCCGAGCCCTGATTGGCTGCAGCGGAGAGAAGCGGCGCTGCTATTGGCCAGACGCGCCTCACTCAGTGCCACGTCCCGGTGTTGGTTGGTGGCGGCGGGCAGGGGAGCGGCGCGCAGGGGAGGGTGGCCCGGCCCGGCCCGGCCCGGCGCCGCAGCACGCACCTGGAAGGGGTTGATGTCCACCGGGTCGGCGAACGGGTTCGTGTCGAAGCCCGACATGAGCGCGGTCCCGCTGCTCCGCTCCGCGCTCCCGCCGCCGCTGCTTCTGCTGCTGCTCCTACACAGCCACTTCCGGGTCAGCCGGGGCGCGTGCGTCGCTCCGTCAGGTCACTCGCCCTGCCCACTCGCGCAGGCGAGCGGCTCCGTGGAGCGGGGCTTGGTGACGTCACAGCGGTGGCCACCACCTATGGCGCGGGAAAAGGGGGGGGGGGTTAACCCTATAGGTGCTTCCGCGCTCTATAGGGACACCTATAGGGGGGCGAGCTTCGCAGGGAGCTCACTAGCGGGCCCGTAGCCCCCTATATGTGCCCCGTACGATGACCCCTATAGAACACCCCCTATGGAACACCCCGATATCCTCCCGTGAGCCCCGCACAGGGCAGTGCCAGCCCCGCGCCGCGCTCCCTATGGCCGCTATAGGGTGCGCGTAAGGCGCTGCCCAGCCCCTCCCAGTGCGACCGGGGGGGGAGGCGGAGCCGGAGCCGTCCCCGTCCCCGGAGCCGCCGCCGGGACTCCCGGCCTGCCTCAGCCATGGCGGAGATCCGCGGTGAGCGGGGCCGGGGGCACACGTGGGGACGGGACCATGGGGCGGGCAGGGCACCCCCGATGTACCCTCCCCATCAATAGCCCCCGGTCCCCCTGGATCCCCGGGGGGGTGCTGGGGATCAAGAGGGTCGTTTCTGTGTCCGTCCCCCCCGCAGTGTTCCCGCTGTCCTGCACCGTGCAGAACTACTCCTGGGGGAAGCTGGGGCTGGCCAGCGAGGTGGCCAAGCTGCTGGCCAGTAGCGACCCCTTGGTCCAGATCCAGCCCGACCGGCCCTACGCCGAGGTGAGTGCCCGGCCCCATGGCCGGTCTGGGGAGGAAAGAGTCTCTCCAACCCGTGTGGGCATCGCAACCGGCTGCGGTCCTCACTATCCCGGGGCCGGCCGGCTCGGGGAGGGATGTGGATCCCTATAGCCAGGGAGGGATGTGGATCCCCTGTAGCCAGGGAGGGATGTGGATCCCCTGTAGCCAGGGAGGGATGTGGATTCTCTTATAGCCTTGAAGGGATGTAGATCCCCTATAGCCCAGGAGGGATGTGGATTGCCTATAGCTTTGAAGGGATGTGGATCCCCTGTAGCCAGGGAGGGATGCGAATCCTCTATAGCCACAGAGGAATGGGGATCCCCTATAGCCCAGGGGGCATATGGATCCCCTATAGCCTGGGAGGATGTGGATCCCCTATAGCTCTGGAGGGATGTGGATCCCCTATAGCTCAGGAGGGACGTGGGTCTCCTATAGCTGGGGTGGGAGGGGGATTCCCTATATCCCAGGAAGGATGTGGATCCCCTATAGCCTGGGAAGGAGGAGAGGAGAAGCCCAGCGTGACTCAGCCCCCGAGGGAGCTTTTGGCCGCATCCATTGCCAAGCAGCCTCCAGAAAAGCCCAAGTCATCCCCGCCGGCTGCCCGGCTCTGGTCCATCATCCCTGTGCCCATCCATCTCTGTGTGTCCCGCAGCTCTGGATGGGCGCACACCCCCGTGGCGATGCCATCATCCGGGATAACCGCATCCCGCAGCGGACGCTGGGGCAGTGGATCACTGACAACCCTGCGTGCCTGGGGGCGAAGGTGAAGGACACCTTCCAGGGCCAGCTCCCCTTCCTCTTCAAGGTGCTGTCCGTCAACACCGCCCTCTCCATCCAGGCGCACCCCAACAAGGTAGGGAGACCATGGGTTGTGCTGGCGGCCCTTGCTGGTCCCTGTGGAGCTCACCCAGCCTCTTTGTCCCCTCTCCAGGAGCTGGCAGCCAAGCTGCATGCCCAGTTCCCGGAGCACTACCCCGATGCCAACCACAAGCCAGAGATGGCCATCGCTCTCACCCCCTTCGAGGGCTTGTGCGGCTTCCGGCCGGTGGCTGAGATCGTCTCCTTCCTCCAGAGTAAGGATGGGGATGCTGGTGATATGGGTGCTGGTGGGGTGGGATGGGGATGCCAGTAGGATGGGGATGCTGGTGGGATGGGGATGCCGGTGGGGCAGGATGGGGATGCCAGTGGGATGGGGATGCTGGTGATGCGGGTGCTGGTGGGGTGGGATGGGGATGCCAGTGGGGTGGGATGGATGGGGATGCTGGTGGGGTGAGATGGGGATGCTGGTGGGGTGGGATGGGGATGCTGGTGGGATGGGGATGCTGGTGGGGTGGGATGGGGATGCTGGTGGGATGGGGATGCCAGTGGGATGGGGATGCTGGTGGGGCGGGATGGGGATGCCGGTGGGATGGGGATGGGGATGGGGATGCCAGTGGGATAGGGATGCTGGTGGGGCAGGATGGGGATGCCAGTGGGGCAGGGATGCCGGTGAGGTTGGATGGGGATGCTGGTGGGATGGGGATGCTGTTGGGATAGGGATGCCAGTGGAATGAGGATGCCGGTGGGATGGGGATGTTGGTGGGGTTGGATAGGGATGCCAGGCTTCAGGAATGACGCGTGCTGTCACCCTGTGAGGCGTCCCCGAGCTGCGGGCGCTCATCGGGGAGGTGGCGGCCGAGCAGCTGGAGCGCAGCGGCAGCGATGACCCCCGTGGCGTGTCGGCCGCGCTGCGAGTCTGCTTCACCCGCCTCATGAAGAGCGAGAAGAAGCTCTTTGTGGACCAGCTCAACAAGCTGGTGAAGAGGATCTCACAGGAAGGTGGGTCCCTTCCTATGGGGCTTGGGGGGCTGTGTTCAAGGGGAAGGGATGGGGCACCCCAAAGCTCCATCCCCACTGTGGTGCCTGGTGCATTGCAGTGGCGGAAGGGAAGGACACGTCGGGGAGCAACGGGGACCTGCTGCTGCGGCTGCACTCGCAGTACCCCGGGGACATCGGCTGCTTCACCATTTACTTCCTCAACCTGGTGAGGCTGGAGCCGGGAGAGGCCATGTTCCTGGGAGCCAACGAGCCCCATGCCTACCTGCACGGAGGTGAGCACCGCGGTGGCCTTCCCCAGCGCCCTCCCCAGGGTGCCCATGGGCTCCTGAACGTGTTAGGCCATGGAGGTGGGCTGAGGGTGCTGCTCTGTCCCCACAGACTGCGTGGAGTGCATGGCGTGCTCGGACAACACGGTGCGCGCCGGGCTCACCCCCAAGTTCATCGATGTCCTCACCCTGTGTGAGATGCTCAACTACACACCAGCACCCAGCAGCTCCAAGGTCTTCCCAGCGGCACAGAGCCAGCTCGATCCCAATGTCTGCCTCTATGACCCGCCTGTGCCAGACTTTGCCATCATGAGGATAGAGGTGAGCAGTGCTGTGAAGAAGCCAGTGTGCCAATGAGGATGGAGGGGTGTTTGGAGCTGCTTGGGTTCCCCCTGCCTAGAGCTGCATCACCTTCTCCAGCAGCTCTGGGCAGAGGGAGGATCGGGAGGAGGGTTTGGGTGTCCCCGTGTTCAATCCTTGGGTGGGAATGGGGAGCCTCAAGCCATGGTGACCCTTTCCCTTGCAGGTCCCATCCTCCATCAAGCTGTACCTTGTCTCCGCCGTGGACTCCGCCAGCATCCTGCTGGTGGTCCAAGGGGCGGCCGTGGGCACCTCCACAGCCGCAGCCTCCGAGATCCCCCTGTGCCGGGGCTCCGTCCTCTTCATCTCCGCCAATGAGAGCGTCTCGCTCCAGCTCTCCTCTCCCGATGGGATGCTGCTCTTCCGAGCCTGCTGCCTCCTCTGAGCCAGCCCCATCCCCATTGGAGTAGATAGAAACTGACCTGGGCAAAGGCGTCTCGCTTGGAAGTTTAACCTGTTAAACCCCCAAACCAGCCCCACCTGATGTAGAGAAAGAGCAGTTCCATGAATGAGCTCCTTGGACATGGCGTGGAGCAGAGAGGGCAGAGGAAGAGCATCTCCCCTCCTCACAAACCATGTCCCTGTAAGCATCAATCCCTCAGGGTGCTGCCAATGCCACAGTGACTCTGGTGGGTCTGTTCCCCTCCTCGTCCCTTGCTGAGCAGCAGCAGGGAGGCCGGAGCTCTGCACCCCAGCTCTTGAGCATCCCTGCCTGGCTTCTAGGAGCTGCTGCCACTGTGATGCTGAGGCTTCCTGCTGCTCCCGGTGGGCTCTTCCCAAGCCTGGATGATAGCAGGGAGGCCTCTGAGCCGTGTCACCCCTTTTCCAGCTGTGAAAGGGGCTGCTTGGGGGGGTGACAGAGCTGGAGAGCCTCTGGTGCTGTGAATAAAGAGGTGACTCTGTCCTCGGTGCAGGGCAGCGTGGTGTGGGGAAGGATGGGGAGAGCACTGCAGGGCTTGGGGACCAGGAGGCTGGGGTGGCCCTGGTACCCCGTGCCATCGGCAGCTCCACAGGGAATGTGCTGCCAGGGTGACAAGGGAAAAGCCATCGCTCTGGCACTGTGCTTGGGTATGGGGGGAGCCCCCCCAGTAGGGCTGTGGGGCTCAGCCCCCACCACAGCACCAACACAGCCTCAGAGTAACAAGATGCAGTTTATTGAGTGCTCCCTTGAATGAATAGAATACAAAACCCCCAAAAGCAACAGTTCAGGACTCTAGACATGAACTACTTAAATAAGGTTTCTAAGCAGCGGATTGTCCTCTATGGAGTAGCAGGACCATGATTTAAGGCAGCTTTTAAGGTTCACAGCAAGTAGAGCCTGTAGCCCCCCCAAACCTGCACCCAAAGGGGGGTCCAGGCTGCCCCTCGCCTCCATCAGAGCAGCTCTGGGGACAACTGGAACATGCCACCAGCTCCAAACCCAGAACTTAACAGGTCCTCAAGGGGCAGAAAGCAGACAGGGAGGTCCCAGCGTGCACAATGGCTGCAGGTGGATGTAGCAATGCAGACACCTAAAGCTCAATCCACTCCACTGGGGTCCCTCCATTGGAGCTGCCAGCTTTGGTTCAGCTCAGCCCAGGCGTTAGGAAGGGACCCAGCAGCGATCATCTACCCCACCATCATTAGGGCAGCACAACCCATGTCTGGGGCCAGGTCCTGAACCTCACCAAGGCCAATTAAAGGAGGAAAAGAGGAGGTCAGGCAAAGCAGGGAGCATTTGCTATTGCACCTCCCAGTCCCTTCCACTTTTACACCCCCTTGGAGGTGCCTGGTCCCATCCAGGCCACCTGAATGTCACTGTGCCACCTCTCCCTGCTATTGCTGAGCATGAGGAAAAGTCCTTTGGGGTGGGTTGGTTGCTGCTGCTCACCATGAGAGGCATCGCAGCATCATTTGGTCGTTGTGTCACTGTCCCAGCATGGACACGGACACCAACAGCCATCCCATGAACAAAGAAAGTGCTGGTTTGCACAGCCCCTGCTGAGCAGCATCTACTGGATCACACAGGAGAGGCTGTCTCCGAAACAACAGGGGCAAGAAGAGGAGGTGATGGGTTTGGGGGGGATGAGATCCAGATCCTCATCATCAGGGACCTCGTCGAGGTGGTACCCATCCTTCAGCAGCTGCCGGCTCAGGTCCTGGTTCACCTGCTGGGGGAGACAGGGAGGAGGTACAGGTTGGTCCTGCTTTAGTTCAAGTTTAGGGCTTGCAAAGGGAAGGGCTGCGGACAAGAAGGGCATCGCCTCCTCCTGCAGTGCCTTAGCATGGGGAGGAGCACCCCAACACACATCCCTGCATGGAGCCTCGAGGTGGCTGGGAGTGAGGGAGCGCCAGCAGTCAGAGCCCTGCACTTGCCTCAGCAGAGGAGTAGCCTGAGGAACATCTGGATCCTGGCTCCTCGTCACTAAGGGAAGAAGGAAACAGTCAGAGCCAGCCGGGAAGCAGCATCTTTGTGTAGGATGCAGACAAGGGAATCTCGGGGGTGCAGTTCTGAGCCAAATCCCCAAATCCCGGGATATTCCCCCACTCCCACCTGTCCGAATCGAGGGAGAGCAGGTTCTCATCCGCCGCCTGGCTCAGCGCCGTGTAACCCTTGTTAAACTTGACTGACCTGCGGGGAAGCAAAGAACCAGCCCGTGACAGGCATTGTGGTGTGGGAATCCAGCCCGTGGATTGAGGAGCCAGGGCAGGGATCCCTTCCCACCCTAAGCTAACCCCAGCTGAGCTCTAGGCCACCCTCATGGGGAGATCCTCACCACCCAACCACCCCCAGAGCAGGGAGAAGAAGGAGCAAGAGCAATCCCTGTTATTGCATCGGGTGCCCGCTGGCCACAACAGAGCCCATGGGAAGTTTCCCGGTGTCCCAAAGGAACAGGCTCAAACCTCTTTGGTGCTGGTCTCGGGTTTGGTGCCGGTGCCCCCAGCAGCCCCTGCCTCCGCAGCGCCGCCTTCGCCAGCTCCCGCTGCCGCTCTGCAACACAGGGCAGGGCTGACACAGGGCCGGGGGGCGGCCTGAGCCCACCATGGGGCACACAGGGATTTGGGGGGTGCAGGGCCTGGCACAGCCTCCGGGGCAGCACTTACTGAGCTTGGCGTGGAGGGAGGGGGGCTTGCTCACGATGTACGGTCCCTTCTTCTCCACCGCATCGGCCGCCTTGCTCAGCCTCTGGTTTTCAGCCCACATCAGCTACAACACAGGGACAGACACGGGTTTAGGAGCATCTCTCTATGGGGATGAAGGGAGGAAAAGGAATAAGCTGATCTATTAGGGGAGGAAGGGATTCTTTGGGAATAGCAATGCTAAATTGCACACGCAGTGGCCAGCAGTTCCATTGCAAGCCTCACTCCAGTAATACCCCGGAGAAGAAGGGATGGAGGGGATTTAATGAGCAGGTTCATCAACTAAAATACAGGGATCACTGGGTTTAATTTCTCTGCAGGGTTTGAGCCTTCCAAGCTTCCCCCTGTGCAGGAATTAGAGGGAGCACTTAATGAAGCAACAAGGCAGAGGGCTTGGGGCACTGATGGGAGAGCACAGCCGGGATTAGCGGGATCTGAAGCCGGAATTAGCAGGGCAGAGCCTTACCAGTGGGAATAACCCCATGCACAGAGAGCTGCGGGATTAACCGTGATGGCAGCAACCCCCTGCCTGCACCTTGTGCTCCCCTGTGCTGCCCCATATCACCCATGCACATACCCTCTACTGCCTCACACACATATCCCAGCCCTATACCCTCCTGTACATGCCCTGTACCCTCCTGTATATGCCCTATGCTGCCCCACACACATATCCTAGCCCTGTAGTGTCTACGCACATACCTTTTGCTGCCCCCCACACATATACTAGCCCTATACCACCCATGCACATACACTATGCTGCCCCACACATATATTCTAGCCCTATAGTATGTATGCACATGCTCTATGCTGCCCCCCACACATATAGCCCTATAGTATGTATGCACATGCCCTATGCTGCCCCACACACATATAGCCCTATAGTATCTATGCACATACCCTATGCTGCCCCATGCACATACCCCAGCCCTATAGTATGTATGCACATGCTCTATACTGCCCCACACACATATAGCCCTATAGTATATATTCACATGCTCTATGCTGCCCCACACACATATAGCCCTACAGTATCTATGCACATATGCTATGCTGCCCCACACACACACCCTATGCTGCCCCACACACATACCCCAGCCCTACACTATCTATGCACATACCGTATGCTGCCCCCCACACATACTCCAGCCCTACACTATCTATGCACACACCCTATACTGCCCCATACGTGTACCCTAGCCTTACAGCCATGATAAACACACGCCATACTCCCCTCTGCATATACCCCAGTCCTGTACCACCTATGCCCATACCCGGTACCGCTCCCTATACCCCAGCCCCACACCCCCCATGCACACCCCACAGCCCCCCGGCCCCTCACGTACCCCCGGGCCCCGCCGCCCGCCGGGTCTGCCCGCACCGGGACCGGCTCCTCCGCCATCTGTCGCCATAGCCTCCCGTCGCCCCGCCCCTTTCCCCCCGCCCGCCAATGGCAGAGCGGGGCAGCGGTGAGACCCAGCCAATGGGAGGAGAGGAGGCGGTGCGCCCCTCGGCCTGCCGCGCATGCGCAGAGGGCCGTCATGGGGATGCGGAACGTTTCCCTGCAGGGGCTCCCGTTTTCCTGATGGAAAAACCCCACGAAATTCCCTTTTCCCCCTTTTTTTGCCCCAAACCCCCCCGCCTGCACCAGGACCGCGGTGGGAAACGGGCTCTGCACAGCAATATCCACCGTGGGAGCGATTCCCAGCCCTGCACAGGGCTCAGGGGTGCAAACAGGAGTCTCCCATGGTGCCAAGGGCTTCCACAGGGACACGGCTTCCCCCAGGGCAGGGGGGTCTGGGAGCCCTTGTTCTCCTCCTCCTCCCTAAAGCTGTGGGTGCAGCAGGGTCCCTGTGCCCTTCCCCTCCCCATGGGCACCGCAAGCAAACACGGATTTACTCACCCCTGGGAGGGTGTTTTGCCCTTTATTTCCTCCTTTCCCCCATAACCCCCCCCCCAAACAACCACAGGAGCCACTGCCACCGCGTCAGTCAAACCAGGTTTTCCTTTATTAGGTCCAACTCCGCCTCACGTCCATTGTGACTCAATAAAGGAAGTTATCTGAAGTTAAGAGGATTTTAACACTTGTGCCTGCAGGCGGCTGGGTACAATCAGGTGGCACCAGTGAAACGCTGGGGTAATGCACCTGCAATGGAAAAGAACACAAAAAGGCATCAAAGCAGCAGCCCAGGACCTCCACCATGTGTCACAGGGGGCTCATGTGAGCTCATCTAAGGGGCTGGGGAGCCCAATGTCTTCTATGGCTGTTCTCAAGTTTAGCAGGTGCTCAGAATCTCTAAAAAGACAGTAAAATAAGTGGTTTCCCAGGACTCGAGGCTGTTCCATCAAGCACCACTACTGAAATAAAGGATATTCAGTGAAGCTCTGGCCATGCTCCAGCTGATCTGCTTATTCTGTAAGCAAGGAGCCCTCCAAAGTAGTGTTTAATTACAGAGAAGATGCTATTTTAAGTGTAACGTGAAGAAACTGATAGAATCACACAATGGTTTGGGTTGGAAGAGACCTTAAAGCTCACCCAGTTCCAACCCCTGCCACAGGCAGGGACCCCTTCCACTGGAGCAGCTTGCTCCAAGCCCCTGTGTCCAACCTGGCCTTGAGCACTGCCAGGGATGGGGCAGCCACAGCTTCTCTGGGCACCCTGTGCCAGCGCCTCAGCACCCTCACAGGGAAGAGCTTCTGCCTAAGAGCTCAGGTCAGTCTCCCCCGTTTCAGTGTGAACCATCACCCCTTGTCCTATCACTGCAGTCCCTGATGAAGAGTCCCTCTCCACCCTTCACATATTGGGTGACCACCATCACTGAGGCTCATTTTCCAGCATAAGCTATAACCAGGGTCTCCCAGTTTTCTAAACGGGCAAGATTGTGACAAGAATGTGCACGTTTGTGCATTCCCAATGGAAACCAGCCTGCCATTTACTAAATCACACTTCTGGGGTCAAGCTGCTGAGCAGTCAACATGCTGCAATACCCATTGCCTTAGCAACTACCTAGACACTGCTGGGGATGGTGGCAACCATCCCACCCCTTCCCAAGCCAAGCCAAGTGTTAGCATCTTTTCCAGGAGACATGTACATACAGAGATATTTGGAGACTCACACTACAGACTTGCATTTCACAGCCCTGTGAAGGCAAGGAAGGGGTCTGTGTCCTTGCCAGGTAACTTTTGGGGGACCCCTTTCCCACACCAAGACGTGCAGAAGCAGCAGCATCCCTTACCAATAACATTTATGCTTTGTCCAGGCCCAGTTCCTCTGGAGTAGAGATTCCCAATTCACTCAAAGTTGGTCTAAGCTCCTGGATAACGTAAGGATAGATTTCCTTGTGAGGTCCTGCCTTGTCCTAAAGGAAAAGGGATGGTGTTATTTCCACAGCAAGCTGCTGTACAGCGGTCAGGTTCTGCAATCCACATGGGTTGACCCATAAGGGCAGGAGATCACAGCCCAGCTCTGCCTAGGAAAAACAATGCAACTTGCTTGGAAATCAGGGAAAAACCAGCACCCCTTGAGTAAGAGCATGTTACTGTCCCCAAGTTCTGATCAACTGAGTTGTCCCTTAGATGGTAGGGGATGAAGGGGACAAAAAACCCAAAAGAGATAAGGAAAACACAGGAAGAGTCTTCCATCAGCCTCTAAAAACACCAAGAGAGTTTCAGTTCTACAGAATGCAGAGAGCAGCAACAGCAAACACAGAGGCAAATGACTGTGCAGCACAGCCTGCAGCAGGGCTATGTAAGTCCTTGGGACAAAAAGGCAGCTGGAAGAGCAGAGCTGCTGGCTTCCAGGACTGAAACAGGACTCCTGCCTCCATGCTCACCCACTTTAACTCCCTGCTAAGTGAAGGCTGGACTCAGGTTTCAGGGTGCTGGTTTCTGCTGGGTTTGAAGGCTGTGCAGCTCAGTGTTCAGCCCTTTAGGAAGCTGGTAAACTGCCTCTGCCTGAGGGATTCCTGCTAATGCTTGTTTTAAAACTAAAAGGAAGAAAAATCCTTCGCCTTTCCCACCAGAGGCAGCAGCAGGAAAGGAAAATACCAACCTAAGAACATCCTACCTGAAGCTATGCTGCTGAGTGCTCTCAAAACTTATCCAAGGCATCACGCACACGCTCCCATGGAAGCTATGGACTCTGCCAATGGGAACTAATGCCTTTCCTTGGCACCACTAAGAGCGAACCCAGGCAAACGCAGTGCTCTGGGCACGGAGGGCACAGCAGTGAGCCTGGAGCTGCTGTTCCACTCACCTTTACCACTTCCAAGATGCGGACAGCGGTGGCAAAGTCGTTTAACCGTCTGCATGCCCTCAGAGCTGCGTCGATGATCTTTGGTTCCGGAACCAGGTCATACCCCACAAGCGTGTTGATGCCTGTGAAACACCAAGAGGGCCTTGGCATCAGCTCCAAGTCTCACCCCCACTAGGAACTGATAAAGACTTTTCACTGCTGTTCAAGGGACACACAAACAGCCCAAGGTTTTCTTTTGCTCCTCTCCCTACTCTACTGCTGTAGATTTTAAGTTGACTTCATGAAATCCCAGTGAGCCAGTTTCATCCATGCTCCCCACAGGAGTCTCTGCCTGCACCACAGCACTTATGGAATCATTAAGGAATGCCAAATGACTCCATTCCTACAGGTGTAATGAAAACTAGAACTCAAGCTGCTGGCTCTTCCCCTCCAAGGGATGACAGCCCATACCTCACGCAGGTGATGCTGCAATGATCCCTCTGGCTGTTATGCAAACACGTTTTTAAGCCCTAATTGGGGTAGTTTAATAGGAGCTGGCAAACACCAATGGAGACACCAGTCTGCATGAGTTACGGCCAAGCCATTAGCTCAAAGGCCAAACTCAAACGTGTGTGGTTATGCTCTAGGCAACAGCTGAGCTCAGATGCACTTTCCTCAGAGCAAATGTTTCTCTTCCTCCCACCCAGGTGCTGAAATGTGAGTTCTGGGGCACTAAAGCTTACAAAGCCTGACTCCCACCATGTCATAGCCCTCACTCTGCATCCTTGCAACCTGCTCGTGTGAGCAGGTAAGGTGCCACTGCCCGATACAACAGGCTCAGAGCAAACAGCACAAGCACAGAGCAGCCCCAGCAGGGTACGTACAGGATTGCTCTCCTGCATCTAACCCCAGTTTTCCCTCTTCCTGCTCCCCAACAGCAAAGACAAATCCATTTGTTATTCCTGCTCACTGAACTGTTGTATTTACTCCGTGGTTACTCTCCCCTTTCCACTCAACTCACCTTTCCTGAGCTCCCAGGCATCGATATCTGGCTTGTTGAAATAGGTCACCCAGCGAGCATCGAACTCTTCATCTGACTCTTGTGACCCATGGGAGTAGCAGCGGGCGTGCAGCACAGCTGGAGGCAGACAGAGAGGAAGAGACGTGGAGCAAACAGGAAGGAACTGCACTTTAGCCTTGACCAGGACATCAAAAGCCATAGAAAGAGGTGTTTCACTCACTACAGTCAGTGTGGATCAGTCCTCAGCTGGGATATGCACTGGATGGAGACAGCTTATTCAATATTGTTGGTTTGACTGGTGGCAAAGTGTGCGTTTTCTGATCTACATCAGGCTCCCAAAGCCTTTGGTTAGAGCAGGATTACTTAATGAGGGGAAACACCACAGAAAAACCCTTCAGTACAACCAGTGCTTCAGAGACGTTTCCTGCGAGCCCTGTTTCTGCAGGACACAGGAATCTCCCCTCTTCCCAGAACCAAGGAAGCCAAAGAAACATCCCACATGGGCATTCCATCAGCAAAACTGTTCTGCTCCCCGCTTTGACCCTTCTCAAAGCATCAGGACACGTCCATGGTGAGCTTGGCAGTGGTATTCCTTCAGAACTAAACCCCTACACCCTATTAGTTACACTGCTACCCACTTCAGACAACACACTGCCTTATTCCTCCTGCTCCTGAAACCGCTCCACAATTGTAATCCAAGAAAAGCAGACTTCCCAACCAACTGATGGGTTTCCCAACCAGGCTGGTTTGGAGGGATGACTCAATAGCAACGAACCTCTGCAGCTTTTGATTCCAGCACGATGAGGGCTTGTTTTAAAGAGGTTTTAGCACAAAATGACATGAGCCCAAATGTAACAGCTCTCAAGCAAAGGGAGCAGAGTTATTCCTTCCAACAGCATACTGAGGGGTTGAGGGAGGACAAATGTCACTGCTGTCCGTGCCTGTGCAAGATAAAACTCCCATGGCTGTAACTGCATTTGTATTTGATCATTCACAAAGCACAGAAGGGGATCATACTCCAATGGACAAATGCCACTGGTACTATTCTGAACTCGTTTCCTCCCTCAACACCGCTCTTTACCAAAATACCCCCTTTTGGGGGGGGGAGTTTTGCCTTTTTTTAACCCACAGAGGTTGGAACTGAACGCGGGGCATTGGCAGCTCCACCTGCAGCACAGCCATGCCCTGCAAGCTCCTGCCTGGAGACGCTTCCTTCCCTCCTGGTAATTCCACCCCACCACTGTTTGCAGAGAGGTCACACACTAGGTATGACCTTGCCAGCGTGGAGCTCTGCTTCAGAGGAAGGCAGAGCTGTGTGGGCACTCCTCCTTTCCCATCCCTGCCTGAACCCCTCATGCTGCCCAGCTACAAAGCTGGACCCATAGCAAGGAGCCCCCAAACTGAGCCTTCCCAGATGCACTATTCTGCTTTGAGGAGTGCAGGAAACAGGCACACTGCGAACCAGCAGCCTGGTTCTAGGTAAAGTACAATGGAAGGAGCCTCAAGGAGCATCTTCAGTCTCCTGAAGTGATGGCCCAGCCAGTGCACAACCCAGATTTCCATGCGGTTCAGTGTGTGAGCCATGGTTCTGGTTTGTGCAGTGCTTCCTAAGCCAGGGAAATGGGAAGATAAACCACCCTGCAGCTGGTTTATCTCCATCACTAAGTAAGGGAAAGGCAAATTCAGGCCAAGCCAGAATTATAATGCACTTTTTGTGCTCTAGAAGGCGATTCCCCATCTCTGCCCAGCTCCAAAGCAGCTCCTTGACCCTGCTGTCTCCAGTAAAGCACATGCCCAGTGGAGCTCAGAGCAACAGAGAAGGCTGCGTGGAGACCTCAGAGCAGCCTTCCAGTATCTGAAGGGGAGCTATAGGGATGCTGGGGATGGACTCTTCATTAGGGACTGTAGTGACAGGACAAGCGGTAATGGGTTAAAACTTAAACAGGGGAAGTTTAGATTGGATATAAGGAGGAAATTCTTTCCTGTTAGGGTGGTGAGGCACTGGAATGGGTTGCCCAGGGAGGTTGTGAATGTTCCATCCCTGGCAGTGTTCAAGGCCAGGTTCAATGAAGCCTTGGGTGAGATGGTTTAGTGTGAGGTGTCCCTGCCCATGGCAGGGGGTTGGAACTGGATGATCTTAAGGTTCTTTCCAACCTTAACTATTCTATGATACTATGTACATGCTCAGGTGCTGTTTGAGGGGGAAACACTTTCTTTCCTAAATCACAAAAACAATCCTGCAAGGAAACAGCCCATCTAGTTTGAGAAGAGCCCGGAGTCACGTTCTCAAATGCCATCTTGAAGTCCAAACCCTAAAGTCTCCTTCCACGGAGTTCAACAAAACCATTCCCTTTAGTCTTAAACCAAGGAACAACTTGGTTAGGCCAAAAGGATGCTGAAGGAACACGCAACAGGCTACAAGAACATGGATCATGGATTGCCAGGATGTGTTTTCCAACCTTTCCCTGGTTTATCTCCCATGCTAACACTCACATCCACATCCAGGAGGCAGGACCCTGCAGTTCACCCTGGCAATGCTGAGGCAGGAGCCAGCTGGAGCCTGGCACTTCCCTGGGGTCCCTCAAGGTCACGGTCGCACACAGGTGGAAGTCACACCATGCCAACCCATCCACACTGAGATTCCCACCTCGGGGAGGAAGCCAAGGGCATGCTGTGTGTCTAGAGGTGTGCTTGCAAGAGAACCCCACCGGCTTCGAGAGCACCTGAAACCACCTGAAACCACAGTTGAAAGCTTCCCCCCGGAGCAGAATTCGGCCGCTTTCCCTGGCAATGAGCACGGAATTAAAGCACTCACCCAGAGGAGCATTCGTTTACATGAATTCCCTGGGAAAAGGCAGCAGTGTCAAGTGAGGCCTTTGTAATACAAGACCTTGGGAAAGAAGAGCTCAGGCCCTGCTCCTTGTTAGCAAAGGTGCAGAGAAGGGAGGGCACAAGCAGCCGGGGTCCTGCAGGAGCACAGAGGGGCTCCGGCACGGGGATTTAATGGGATTTGAATTAAAACAGGGGTTTAAAGACGTGTCAAAGAAACACCACAACCGCCTCTTATCCCTTTGCACTTTAACGGCAGGCAGCAATATGGTCCCTGCGGTAAGTGCTTAACTCCCACACCCCCGAGCGCTTTAACCGCGATCCGTGCCCGTTAATCGACTGTTAATTACGGGGCACGGGCACCGTCTCCCCGCAGCCCGGGTGTTCAGCTCCGCTTTCCCCATCCGCACCGAGGCCGCGCTGCTTCTCTTCCTCCCCTTCCGATTAATCGGGGTGTTGATGAGGGCAGCGGGAGGAAGCCGCGGCAGGCCCGGCCCAGCGCCGGTCCCCGGGGCTGTGAGGAGCTCGGTGCCGGCCCCGGATGCGGAGGTCACCGCCGACCTCCGTCAATGTCACCTTCAGGAGAGGCCCGGTAAAGCGCCGCCGCCGCCCTCGCTACAGCTCCCGGGCCGAGGCCCGGCGCCCGCCCCGTGGCGGTGAGGCCGGTACCGACGGGGGGTGGTTACCAGGGCCGGCGGCAGCGGGGCAGCGCCGGGCCCGGCGGGGCGGCGCGCACTAGGCCGCAGGCGCGGCCTGTCCTCGGGTGACAGCGGCGGGTCACCGCAAGGACACGGCGCCACCCGGGGACCGAGAGGGGAACCGCGGCGGGGTGCGGGGCCGGGGCCGCTGGGCGGGCGGGGTGCTGAGGGGGGAAGGTGTGAAGCAAGCGGGCGGCCGCTCACCTGCGGGGCCGACGGGCCTGCGGACGGCAGCGCGGAGGCCGGAGACGGCGCAGCGGCGGAGGAGCGCGGCGGCAGCCTGCATGGCGGCGGGGAGGCAGCACCGGGCGCCGCTCGCTCCTGCACCGGGCACCGGACCGCGGGCGGGCGGGCAGGACGGAGGCGGGGGCTATGGTGGCTCGGCGGGGACACGCCGCGCCGCACGCGTGACGGCGGGAAGCCGCAGGGGCGGGGCTGAGGGCGGGGCCTGCCGCCATTTTGTGGTGTGTGGGGACGGGGCGGGAAGGGAGCGCTGGGGCTCAGCGCCCGTTTCGCACTCGGAAGGTGCTCGGGGCTGTTTATGTGGTAATACCGGTCCCGTTCACCCGGCCCGTGACGGTGGTGGACACAAGGCAGCGAGGGGTGCCGTGATCGCTGTGCTGCCAGCCCTCACATGGGGGATCGGCTCGCTGTGAGGGGAAGATGAGGCGCAGCGCGGCTCTGTGTGGCCCCATCCGTTCCTCAATGGTTCTCCTGTCACCTCGTTGTCCCCAAACCTAGCCCCTGACTGCCTTCAGTCTCTATTGCCCCGTGTTGCCGTCCCTGCTGGGCTCCACATCGCCCCGGAGGCGGTTCATGAGCCTGGCTCTGCGGCGCGGATCCTCGCCATGTCCCCTCGGGAGCCGTGGCGCCAGCTGGCACCGCGCTGTTTGAATGCTGCTCCTTTCGGGTTACGGGCCCTGGTAACCGCTCATGCGGGAAACCCCTGGGTCCGCAGGCAGCGAACGGAGAGGGCAGGACCCCCTCCGAGGCTGTAAAACCGATCTGAACCCAGTTCGCACGTTAACAACGGAGGTAAACGGGTGAGTGAGTGCTGACTGGGAGCAGTGCGAGCCGCAGCGGGGCAGGGCTGGGGAGGTGAGGGGCTCCCGCAGGCTTTAGGCTCCCTTTCCAGAAGGTGTTATTCATTATCCCGGTTGTTCAGTGCACTCGGGGTAGGAGCCTGTGCCCGGGTGCTGCAGCTCGCGTGCGGGGCAGAGCGTTGAACCTGAACGGTGTCTGCGCCAAGGAAGAGGAGCTCGGAGCCCAAAGCAGCCCTGACCCCACCGAAACCCATTATAAGGAATTACAATAGAAATTAACATTCAGCAGCCCAGCGGCAGAGAGGTGAAGGGAATCGCTCTGCAGCAGGGGAGATAAGCGGGAGCCTGCGGAGGGAGATAACAAGGTCATTGCCAAACAAAACAGACCCCCGCTTCCCTCCTCCTCCTCGCTCCCCTCATCTCCTTTCAAACCCGTTCCCAGCCCTGGACAAAAGGGGATGCTCAGCAGCACCGCTCCCGGCTGGCGTTTCGGAAGGATGTGCTCGTAATGCCAATGTAATTCACCCCTATCCCATCCCTGCCATACCCGCAGCACCAGGCTGCTCCCGGAGCACACAGGAGGCCCCGATCCCATTCCACCATGGCTCAGCTGGGATCCTCTTGTCCTGGATGGGCAGCAGCCCTCGCTGTGCTCATCCGTGCCGTGGCCAGCAGCCAAGGTGATCCCCTATGTTTTCCCATAGACATATTCCATCTATTTCCAAAGAGCTTTTATTTTCCACACACCTCCCTTTACCCCTGGAAGCAGCAGGAGCGTTGCTCCAAAAGAGTTTCCCACAGCCCCAACACCTCCCGGTCCTGGCCACTGCATCCAGCCACAACAAGCACCCACTGCACGCTCCCATTGCCCGCAGCTCCCCATGGGTTCTTCACCCCAGCTCCAGACCCTACGGACACCTTCAGGAGAGCAAAGACCTGAACATCCGATGTGGGAAGAAGAGGCAGGAGGAGGAGGGCTGGTTTGTTATCCTGTGCTGTCCCGTCTCCTCGTCTGTGCGCTTCATTCAGGATGAATCGCGGCACCGCAGGGTGCTGAGCGCGGCATCAATAACCCTGACAGCTCCTCAGCGGGTGTAATTGCAGCAGTTTTGATGATGAAGGTGTTACTCCAGCGAGCCTGGGGGCAAAGCATCTTCCTGATGGCTGAGACATAGCAACGGGAGCAAAGATGTGCAGCCGCCTTCCCCGGCCCGGGCACCCATGGGAGTCACTGCAGGAACGTGGCTGGAGGTGGGTGGCATTATCTCTATGGGGTCACCAATACACCCAACCGAAAACGGGTGCGTTTAACCCTTTACCTTCACCCCACATGTGGGGACAGCTTGGGGGGAGCCTGCAGCACGCTGATGACCCCAAAGCAAGGCTTCACGCTGCCTTTGTCCACCACAAAGCAGCTAAAACTCCTCTAGCGCACCCAATGCCCGGCGTGGGGCTGGTCGGGGCGGGAGGCGGTGCTCAGTGGTGATGGTCTGCAGGGTGCTCGGTGCCCCCCGAGCCCCTCGGGCCATCGGGTACCTGTACCTGCAGCTTCTTGGGGAGCAGCTCCTCACAGGGAGGTGGCAGGGGCCGCTTCAGCCCCTTGCTGGAGGAGCCGGACGTGTCTTCTCCCGCCTGGCCGAGCTGAGGCTCCAGCCCGTGCTGGGGCTCCGGGGGCTGGTAGCCGGTCTGGTTGGGATCCAGGGGGTCCCGGGAGAGCAGGATGCTGATGGAGGGGACGTTCTTGTGGACGGTCAGGTTCTGCGCCCCGCCGCCGGGCAGCGGGTCCTGGCTCTCCCAGACTTCCAGCAGGGTTTTGTAGCGCACCTTGGTGACCTGGTGCAGCCCTCCCAGCTTCCGCTTCATGATCTCCACGCAGGTGATGGTCTTGGTGACAGCCCTGCCGCAGCCGCTGAAGACGATCTGCCGCCTGCCCTTCAGCTCCATCTGGGCCATGGCGAAGTTCATCAGGTTCCTGATCTTGCTGCCTTCCTTCACTTTCATCTCCACCACGTCCGGCGGCAGATCGGGGAAGGGCAATGGGCTCTCCTCCTCCGACGTCCTCACCTTTCGGAAGTTCTCCATCCTGGACTGGGTGCCGGGCTTGGCTCTCCCTCCTTCAGCAGCCATCCGTCACCCCTTCCCGGTGCATCCGCTCAGGCTCCTAGCCCCCCGGGACCATAGCAGGGCTCCGCTGCCCTCCAGCCCAGCCTGCAGCAGGGCCGAGTTTAACCCTGCACCCCCTGGACCACCAGCCCCTTCCCCTCTCCTGGCCCGGGGCTGGCTGCGGAGGAGCCGGTGGCTGTGCCAGAGGCTGTTCCCTGGGGATACGGGGCTGCAGGGTTCCCTGGGTGCCCCCGTTTGCTCCCAGCCAGCCCGAGCTCTCGGTGATGCTGCTCCGCTCCCACTGCAGCACTTGCTTCTGCTGCTCTTTGCTTCATTCTGGACTTCAGCAGAGCCCCCAGAGCTGTTCTGTGTAATTAGCAGATCCTCCCCCTCGCCCTCCCCTCCTCTGCCTCCTCCTCCTCCCCTCGCTCAGCCTCCCATCCCAGCACCCAGCTCCTGCCTTCATCCCTGCCCTGCACCGAGAGCCCGGGAAGGCGCAGGGGAGCCCAGTCCCTCCCCGGGAGCATGCAGGCAGGGAAGCAGCAGGCAGGGAGGGAGGAAGGGCAGAGAGAGAAGCTCAGTCTTTGCTTTCATGATGCTCCCGGAGTCCTGCCCCCTTAAAGAGAACCTGGTCCCTTCTCTCCACGCTTCCTCCTCTCAAGGACGGGCTGGCCGCTAACTAACTGCAAGTGTCAGCACACTGCGGGCAGCTGGCCTGTCTGCCTGCCCTCTCTCTCTCCGGCAGCATTCCCAGAGGGATGGGAAGTCCCGGCCACGCTGTGCCCAGGGGTGGCACTGGGATGCAGCAGGTACTTCGGGAAGTACTTTGGAGCCTGAGCTCAACCCTTATTAGCCATTAGAGAAGCTGTTGGGAGAAATCCTGGTGGATGGCATTTCTCTCCCTCCTCCTTCCCCTATCCCTTCTCACCTCCATGTCCCCAGCGTGGAGTCAGCATCGCATTGACTGGGTACATCCCAGAGATACCCATCACAGGCCAGGAGATCTCCCCTTTCTGCTCCCAATCCCTTCCCCGGGCAGAGGCGCTGTCCCTGCCCCAGCTCCCCTCTGCCTGCCCCTGTCACCTGCCTGTCCCCTGCGTGCCCCATGGCCCCGGGGATCATTGCACGGTGGAAAGACAGGCTGAGTATTGCCTTGCAGTCAAATCTTACCAGCCTCTGGATTGTTTTCAGTCTGAGCAGGGCTTGAAAAATACATAAATAAACCAATCTATCCATGGCAGTGCAGTGAGGGCTGTGGCAGGGCAGGGTAATGCCGTCCCTGTGGTCCCCAAAGCATCTTTCTGGGGTACTGCTGCCCTACATGGGGGTCCAGTGGGCAATGGGGGACAGCACTGGTGTGTCATCCACCTGGGATGGGATGCTTGAGGAAAACCCAAGCATCTCTTCCTGACCCAGCTAACACAGAGGGGGAAACTGAGGCACGACACCCCAGCACCAGAATCCAGCTTGGAGCATCCCCCAAGTCCCCCCCCACTCCGATGCATGCCTAGTTGCTGTGCTTCCACTATGAATCCCTTGCTCCTAGCAGACAAAACAACATCACTTCTCCCCTTTTCCGCTCGATGGCTCTTTATGGCATTGCTGCAGCAGGCGCTTGGCTCCTTCCTTGGGCAGGCAGGGATGGATTAAGCATACTGGGAAATTGTTGCCTTCAAAAGATACAGGGAAAACAACCAAGGAAGATGTCAGCTCTATCGACAGAGCGTGTGTGAAGTCAGGGAGCTGAGAAATCCTGCAGGATTTGCAGAGGATGGGGTTGTGGCCACCGAGAGCAGCCGGGCTCCAGGCGACCTGGATAGATCCCAGTGCTGGATAAAACCTCCAGCCCTTCTTTCCTGGCCCAGACCCAGCTCCTGCCTCCCGTGGCCCATTTTCCATGGTGTGGGGCACCTTCCTCCCTTGCATCTAATTGCTGCTTCACAAACTCTGCTCAGTGGAGCCTTGGAAATGGAGGCGGAGGAGGTGAAATCACAGCAAAGCCTTTCTGCAGCCCCCAAAGGGGCACCGATGGCAGGGTCTTGCTTTTCCTCTGCAGTGCCTAACATGGAAATGCAATTCGTTATTAGCAACTCCATTGCTAATTACCATCTGAAGCCATTCATTAGCCTGTCAGCTTGTTTGGTGGAGGACAACAGAGTGGATGGGCTGTTCCAAGCAAAGGAATAGCTGAAATGAGCTCAGCAGCAGCAAAGAGCGGGGTGGGAGAGGGGGGAGAGCAGGGACAGGGGGGATAAAGGCACAGACGGCTCCAGCCATGGGGAGAACCAGGAAAGAAACACTGGGAAACAGGGTGCAGAGTCATTTAAAATGGAGATGAGGCAAATGGTAAAGAGGAATGAAGGAAAGATAAGAATAAAGAAATTACACCCTGTCTGTCCTCCCCGAGCATCCATGTCGGGCACAGCGGGAGCCAGGGGCCGGTTTCTTCCTCCCTTTTCCCATTGCAGTGTCTCTCTGAGCATCCCATAGGGCTGGGGGTCTCCTTCCCTGCAGGACCCTCTTGCCACAGGAGGTGTGAGCTTGGAAGAGCCCTCTAGCAGAGGGGCCAGAGATGGAGGCTGACAGGGATGGGATGGAGAGGGCTGACACCAGCCCCAACCAAGCCTGTGCAAGGGGGGGAAAGCACCCAGGAACATGTTCCTAATGGCGAGCAGGGCAGCTGGAGAGGAGCAGTAACCCAACCCCTTGTCCTTCACCTGCCCTCTTTATATTTTCTTTCACCCGAGGCTCCCTGCATGGGAGCGGGTCGGAAAGAGGGAGCATCCGATACAAGGAAAGTCTGGGTGCTGCCGGCCATCTCTGCGTCACATCGGCCCGGCTCAGGTCTCTGCTGCTCATCACATTGCACCCAGCGGCAGGCTGATGCAGCCCTGGGGTGCTTCATCTGAACCAGGGGCTGGGACCTGCTGCCCCCCAGCGCCAGAGCCCTGAGGATGTGACCCCAGGGGGCCGGGGCTGCCTTGGGGTGGCTTCAGCTCCTTGCAAGCTAAGGCAGTGGAAGATCCTCCCTTATTCCTAAAGGGAAAAGCAGTAGAGCTCAAGATAATCCTCCTTCTGAGTAAACAGTTTAAAAGGAGAAAACAAACCTTTTGTAGGATAAATCCCTTTGCAAAGCTATAGCCCGATAAGCAGGATAATGCTATAAAGGCCCTGAGGGTGTTAATAAACCCTAATAGTCCTGAACTGCCACACCTAGAACACCCTTCCCATCCTGCCCATGGCCCAGGAACTCTATTTAAGCTCAGCCTGGGGGCTTTAGCTCTGGTCTGAGCTATGTTACAGATGGTCTCTAAGTGAGATGCAGTAATCCTTGTGTCTGGGTTGGGCTCCATGGACCTCACCTGCAGATTGATCCCATGGCTTGGCTTTGAACCTGCCTGGATTCTGACTGACCTGGGCTCTCAGTTGAACACTGCTCAGGTAGTGTGGGGTGGGCACTGGGATGTCCCCTTGGTTCTCCAGGCGTTCCTCAGGACCCAAGGGAGGACACAACTCTTCCTGTAAAGCCTGCAGGCAGATGGAGATGTGGTGGGCAAGGAACAGCTCTGTCACTGCCCATCCCCAAATGAATGAGTGGGGAAGGTGGAGCTGAGGCTTGTAGGGGGCAAATCCAGTTGGGAGAAAGCTTGAGAGACAAGGAATAAGGGGCATAAAGCAGTTCTGTTGTCCTGGCTGTGAGGGAGGCACCCCATAGCTGGCACTGAGCAAGGAGCAGGGCTGGGGTTGGTGCCCAGGGTGCTGGGTGCCTGCAGGCAGGGCCAGCGCAGCTCTGCAAGGCCCAGAGCACCCCCATGAGGTCTCCCAACTGGTGAGAATGGGGAGCCACAACCAACCTCCTGCTGCTGCTGCTGCTTGTGTTCCTCCTGCTGCCGTGCACGGAGCTGGGTGCATGGGGCTGAAGACACAGAAGGTGTTTGGAGAGGGCAGCTGGGCCCTCAGGTATGGGGCCATTGTGGCATGCTGATTTTCCTGCTTCCCTCTATTTTGCCATCTGTGAAACAGGCGTTTTCCCTGTTTCTGCCAGGTTTCCTTCATTACATCCCTATGGAGCGATGCCACTCATCTGCCAAAGGGGTTTGGTGACCAGGACTCGCTGGTATGAGGAGATGGAGCTGCTTCCCTGCCCTTCCCACCTTCCCATGGTGGGTTCCTGTCCTCGCTGACCTCTGTGCTGTTGCTCAAAGCTGGATCTTGGGAAGGGAGGAGGATTTAGTTGTCAAATGAAGCCAGTTTCATGACACTGCACTGACATGATCCCAAGCACCGGCACAGGAGGTCTGAGGGGTCCCTGCAGGGCTCCTAGCAGTGACACTGAGGACAAGGGACATAGAATCCTCCTCATGTTGCTTGGAGTCCTCAGGCTGATTTGGGATTTATGTCCCCTTTAGGGGCATTTTCTCCCTCCCCAGCCCGTGTATGGGTCAGTCAGTCCCCTCCCCTGCATCCCAACCTTATGGCAAAAGAAATCAGCATCTCCTCTCCTCCCATCATGCAAGCCATTAATTAGGGGGTTAGAACTAGATCTTAAGGTCCTTCCCAACCCAGACCGTTCTATGATTCGAATTAATGACCATGTGGAGCAGCTGCTGGTGGGAGGCAGACCAGGAGGCAACACAGGGTGATGGGGATGGTGGCTTCTGACCTGCCTGGGACAGTGGAATCCTTTTGCCTGCTCTCAGGAAAAGTGCCTAGCTTTTCTTAGAGTGTTTTCCCATTAGGACACCTACTTCCCTGTGCACATACCTGAGCAACATGTGGGTGCTTTGCCATGCTGCTGCAGCTCCCTTGTGCTTGGTTAAAGGATTGGGCAACCTGTGCCAGTGCCTCACCACTCTCACAGCAAGGAATTTCTCCCTTACATCCAGCCTGAATCTCCCCTCTTTAAGCACATCACCCCTTGGCCTGTCCCTACATCCCTTGTCCCAAGCCCCTCTCCAGGTTTCCTGCAGCCCCTTCAGGCACTGGAGCTGCTCTAAGGTCTCCCCTTCAGGAGCCTTCTCTTCTCCAGGCTGCCCCAGCCCAGCTCTCTCAGCCTGGCTCCAGAGCAGAGCTGCTCCAGCTCTCGCAGCATCTCCATGGCCTCCTCTGAACTCGCTCCAACAGCTCCAGGTCCCTCTTGTGCTGCTGCCCCAGAGCTGGATCAGGGCTGCAGGGGGGGTCTCCCCAGAGCACAGCAGAGGGGCAGGATCCCCTCCTTGAGCTGCTGCTCACGCTCTAGGGGGTTCTGGGCTCAAGCGCACACTCAGGCAGGACCACTGCCCTTGCGGAGGTCACCGAACCCCTGCTCCATAGAGGCTCTGCTGTGCCCCAGGTAGGGATCGCTGCACCTCAGCCCCATAGGAACCCCATAGAGACCCCGACCCTATATGGCCCCGCCCCTTTGTCAGCCCCGCCCCTCCCGGCGGCGGCAGCAGGACCCTGGACAGCGGCAGCTGCGGCTGCTCT